CAGTGCCAAAAGATGGGGAAGGGATATAGGGTACTCTTGTAGATGAGTTTTTTTCTCTCTCTCTCTCTTTCCAAAAAAAACATGGATGGGGAAGGGATATGAGACACTCTTGGAGATGCTCTAAGAGTATAAGATTACCTGCCACAAGAAGGGTGATTTGGGCCGTCTTTCCACAATCTCCTGCTAGGTATTTTGAAGGATTGCACCTGGCGTTGGAACTGAAACTGAAACCATTAAATCGAAGCATGAGATCAAGGGCAATATGGAGGAAATATAAAAAAGGAGCTGCAATTTTTCAAACTTAATTTCACACGAATTTCAATGTAGTAATAGTATGCAATTTGAAGGACTCTGATATATCTGAAAAGTAACATGCACACAAGCACAATACCGGGCAGCAAAAGTTAGATAAAAATAAAAATCTATGGCAGCATTTGTTATATCACCATCTAACCCGGTGCCATTTAGCATCAGTGATGAAGTACTGCTGATATATACCGTCCCCATTTGATGTGTACTTTACATGCCAATTTGTTTCTTTCCTAAACGACTACCCAATCGCAAAATGTATCAATCCACCAATCGTTTTTAGCAGCCAATTCTGAAGTACATTATTGAATGCTAATTGGTTCCAGTATGAGTTATTGACAATAGGCGTATACCGAGAACGGAGTCAGAGATATTTGTCAGCCAGATTTTCTTAGAAAAGTTGGTGGGCAGAACCTTTCCGTACGTGGTTTGATTAATCGTGTCTGTGGTTCATCTAAACAAATGCACGTGGTTTGCTCAGACGACGGTGATTACGTCTGGTTGATGAGCGGAGCGAGCCAATGGTCCAAGCCATTTTCGTTCCGGTGGCGCGAGCTGAAAAAACATAATTTGACCAACCAATTCAACCGACGACGCACGTGTCGGGACCAATACTTGATACCTGAAGAGGGAGAGGAAGAGCTAATAACCATTAACATTGATTCACCCGAGCAGTTAAGAACACGACTACAACTCCGATTGGTGCGCAAGTTCCGTCTCGCCCGACCTCTGGTGGCTGGCCCCGCCTCGCCCGACACCGAGGCCGCGGGCTCCACCTCGCCTGACCTCTGAGGGCGGGCTCCGCCTCGCCTGTCACCGAAGTCGCGGGCTCCGCTTCGCCCGACCTCTGAGGGCTGGCCCCGCCTTGTCCGACCCAAGGCCGCGGGCTCCGTCTCGCTCGACCCTTGGGTTCACGCTCCGCCTCGCCCGACGCCGAGGCCGCGAGCTCCGCCTCGCCCAACCACAAGGCCGCGGGCTCCGCCTCACCCGACGGAGACCCATATCGCCGCCAACCACTCCAGGTCCAAGTGTATGGGCCTGGGTCTAAGCTCTGACACCGGGGAAGTGACCGGCACGCCCCGATGTAACCTGCGGCCACGACGGTTCATACCTGGGGATTCACATCAGGAACCGGTGCTGTTCTGCCTAACCCTCGTACGAACACTTACAGGCGCATCAGTTCACCACGACGTCCGCCAGGACGGAGTGGAGCGCCATGATCGGCAGACGACACCTGCGCCAGTGACGAACAGGGTCGCAACGTGGAGCCGTCCCTGTTGACATCTACAGGGTCAGCGGGACCCGCATGAAGGAGAAGAAGGACCCGACGATTCTGAAGGCCTTCGTCTTTCTCTCTCCTTCTTCTCTTTCTCTCTGTTGTAACACGTGCCTTCCCTTAACCTATAAAAGGGAAGGCAGGGTGTCCCATAAGGGGCACTGGATATCGGACAACTTGATCTTCGATCGGACAATCCGACCAACGATCGCACCACATCTGATCGATTCAAGCCAGATCCGAACAAACCCATCGAACCCCGAGTACACAACCGAGCAGCGATCGAGCTCTCGGTACCTGTTCATCCTTTCCAGCAGAGACTTGGGACATGTCCCTCTTTCGCCCGTTTATAGCCCCTACTACGAACTTTCAGTGCTAGTAACACGAGCAACAGCAACGAACTGGACGTACAAACATTCTGCCCGAAGCAATATAAACCTTGTGTCCTCTAAACACACCATCCGAGCCAGAAAATTTACTCATCGGTGACGACTCGAAACACCGAGGGCACGAAATCTAGGAAAAAACAGTAATTAATTGAGTACCGTGCAGTAACTGACCTCTCTCCGGCAGCCGGTGCCGTCGCCCTCGAATCCCTGCCGGGAGTCTGGGCGTGCTCACCGCGGTGCACTTGACATTGGGCGCGCAGGGCAGCTCAGCTGCACGTCCCGCTCAGCTCCAACGCTTCCAGCAGCAGCGCGGCCGCCTGCGCGTCGGCCCGACCAGTAGCTCACTGCCGACGCTGACACCAGCTCGCCGCATGCATTCCGAGCCTAGCTCCTGAATCGAATCCCGGTTTTGTTCAAGAAACAGTGGAGGACGCTGGAGGCGGCGGGACGACGCAGCGGACGGAGTAGAGACGGTGCAGTTGCTGGTGTGGGCGGCCCGGGCGCCGTGGCTGCAGTTGCTCACGACGAGCGCGTTCTGCAGGCCGGGCGCGTAGCTGTCCGAGAAGAGCGCGTCGACGGAGGCGTTGAGCCGGCGGGAGCAGTCCGAGCGCGCGCGCCGGGGTGACGTTGCGCACAGGCAGGCTCAGGTTGTGCGCCGGCGCCGCCCGGAGCCACAAGCGGTGCCGTCCGCCTGGTCGGGGGAGAAGCCGAACGGGTGCTGCACTGTCAAGCCCCCGCAGGTCCAGGTCCGCTCGCAGCTCCCGTTAGACCAAAGACCATTGGCCCCGCTTTATATAAAGCAATAGAAGGTTTGCTGGGGATACCAGCTATTACAGACATTAAGTTCAGAATGCCCAAGGCACAGCCCTCTGAACGACAGTTCAAACAAACCCCTCTAAAACGAAAAAAGACGAACCCTCTAGGCCAACAGCTGCCTGCCGCATGATGCCCCGGCAGTCCGGCACCACCCACGGTAGGAGGAGCATCAGCGCCATCGCCACCGCCACCACCGCGGTCCGCATCCCGCACGGAAGGAGAGGCCGGCGAGTGCGGCGTCTCATCTAGTCAAACACTCTGCCGCGGGGGGCGTAGCTTTGGACAAGAGGCGGCGATCTTTGGTTTGACCCTTGGACAGTTGCGCTTGCCGCCGCGGCTGCTGTCTTCTCTAGCTTTTTTGGGGGCTCCTAGCTCCTTGCGCGGCGCAAATTCGCATTCCTCCCCGGGGTCGTGTCGAGGAACATCTGCCGGCTCGCTGGCGCCCGTTCCCACACGGCCCAGTAAAGATCGCCCTCGCCCTCGCCCTCGCGTCGTGCTCACGGATCGGGCGTCCGCCGCCTCGCCCGTGGTGGCCGTGGACCGGCGACCTCGATACCGCGTCCGTTCCAGTTCCATTCCATCCTCTCCACACACACACACATGTCGCCCACCACCGGCCACTTGGAAAAAATCTTTCGTGTATGGAAAGAGTAACTGATGTGACGAGGTTCAAAAGTCCATGCGGCAGCTTAGATTACGAGGTGAATTAGGTAGTTGGATTACGAGCAGGCCAGCGCTACCAGATTAGGCAAAGCTCCAGTAGCAATACTCCGATAAAACGATGGAACAGCCACCTAGGCCGAGGCAATATTGCTAAACTAATCTTGCTCTGAGCAAATCTCATATGTACAAGTTTGGCTAAAACTCCATAGCGCAAACTGTGAAAGCATATCCACGTGCAATGTGGAAATTAAGGACGGACGATCGTTCCGATGAGGCGACCAAACCCGACAGCAGGTCCGTGATAAACAATTCTCCTTACAGCCTCGGATCTTGAAATCTTGAGAGCCAGCAATGTATCTGGCCAAACTTCAGTGTACATTCCTCGGCTCAGTCAACAATTCCAGCTGATTCTGTCAAATTTGCATGAAAACAAGCCTTCATGGAAACAGCATCTAATGCAGGTGTAGACTACAGATACTTGACAATGATGTAGGATGGATAATGTTTTGCTGGAGAAGAAAAACGGCTGCCAGACTCAAGTATAACATATGCTTGCTCAGTTTTTCCCCCTTCTAGTGCGATGCAATAGAGAAACGTTTTCTCTGACAAACGGGCCCCTTAATGGAGGCCCACTAACTACTAGCCCAGAGAGGTGGCCCGGCGGCTCCAGGGCTCTCTAGGTCTAGGGGCCACAGGTCAGCTTCCAACTTGTTTTATCTATCTAATCTAATAGAAGGGAAAAATCCCCCACACAGTCGGAACAAGATCCTGTAAAAGACTGATGGAAGGAGACTGTAATTGCTATCAGTTCTGTAAAGGGGATCCCTTCTGTAAATTGTTCAGTGTTGTAAATTGATTTGAAATGCTATTGTGAATGCAATGCACAAAAGATGTCACTGGTTACTGCAATTTCATATGGCCGCACAAAAGATGTTGCTGGTTACTGCAATTTCATTAAGATGCACACAATGATGCATACTACTGCAATTTGATGTTTCCTTCGAGCTTCATATCAATCTTCCTTCAATTGATCAATTCAAGCACAATCCAATAAGGGAGGACAAAAAAAATCAAATTAGAAGAAGTAGTTTGCCTGTTTGCCAATAGAGAGCAATAGATGACACGAGTGTAGAGATTTTGGCACCAGTTTGCCGATGGAGAGCACAAGCAGAAACCTGACCCTGGCGCACGACCTTCACCGATCGCAGCCGCACGATCTGCACCACTCGCGTCAAAAACGTGAGCCCGATGCGGCGGCGCCAAAGCAGTGAGGATTCGCGCCAGAAAAAATACAGTACGTGCGTCGTGCTCGTGCCTGATGTTGGGCCGGCCCAGCAAGCCAAGTGGGGCAGCTCATATTTCTGGCTCCACCGTCGGATGGGAGTGAGCGGCTGCATGCACAGCGACTGCAGAGATAAGTCATTTGGCCGACTTCCGAGGATCTTGTTCCACACAGTCACCCACCCGCTCACACCACTCGTCTCCATCCTACCCGCCCCGATCCCCACCCTTAACCCTAGATCCAGCCCATCCTCGCACCGGCCGCCATGGCCGAGGCCGTCGACTACCAGGGCAGCCCATCCTCGGCGGTGGCCGCTGTCCCCGCCTTCGAGGAGGAGACCGATGAGGGCAGGTGTGTCCGGATCCTCTCCACCTTCGGCTTGGACCTCAGCCTCGCCGTCGCCTCGGCCCCCGTCGACCCCGACTCGACTGATCTGGCAGCTCCAGCTCTGCCGCTTGGGGCGGATCTGGTCAGGCCCGCGCCGCCTGCTCTACGTCACCTGGCTGGCGTCGCCTGGAAGCTGGTAAACCTGCCCTTCGACGTGATCGCGGGCGGAATGGGCGTCGTCCTGGGCACCCTGCGACACGGCGCACGGGCGTTCAACGGCGCGCTCGCCTTCCTCGGCTTCTCTCCTGGGCAGCACAAGCTCTCCTCAGATGCCGTTGGGACTAGGGCGACACACCTTCCCCGTGTCGTCTTGGTCCTCCAAGGCGCAATGTGCAAGCGATGCGTTCTACTTGCCCGGCGTGGAGAGCCGGGGTCCCAAACACAAATGGACGGCTGCTGATAATGTCGCGCTTGGATGATGAGGTAGTGCGGTTCGGGATAGACAAGATGCTTGCTCTGCAAATGGTTGCTACTGAAGGAGGCGCTACCTCGCTCGTTCGTTACCCTTGTTTCTGCCGGCCTCCTCCTCCTCCCGATGCACCATGGGGAGCCACGCGCGGCCTCCTGCCTCATGCTTCAGTGTGGGCAGCCGCGCACGGCCTCGTGGCGTTCCAGCAGGAGGGCACCTTCAATGTCTACCTGTTCTGCCTCAACTGTGGCCAGAACAATGTGCGTCTCCCACGTCTGCCGTTTGGATGCACTACCGGTTGTCGATGGGGGATGACATCAGAAAGACATCAGAAGTGGATGCCATCACAAATGGCGGTATTTTCTTTCATGAGGCCACCCAACTATGTTTACTGATCAACATATTGATGATTATGGACGCCGCTGCTGGGATTTTTATCCTGGTACCAAGGACATACCCATGAGCTCTGTTGGTTTCCTAGACAGAACTCACTTCGTCGCAGTTTCTGCTGATCTTACAGTGGTGATTGGGCTAGTTGAAGTCACATATCCTGGGCCCGTTATACCAGAGCAGTTGGTTTTTCTTGAAATAACGGCAGAGGGGACTTCAGGGATGCTGCCATGGGGCTGTTATGGTAATCATATCTTCAAATGTGGTGAAAGAGTTTATGTCTGTGTCATGAAACGTTCTGTACTTAGTGCAGAGAGCTGGGTACAGAACGTTTCATGACACAGACATAGACTCTTTCACCACATTTGAAGACATGATTACCATAACTGCCCCATGGCACCATCCCTGAAGCCCCCTCTGCCGGTATTTCAACCAAAACCAACTGCTCTGGTATAACGGGCCCAGGATATGTGACTTCAACTGGCCCAATCACCACTGTAAGATCAGCAGAAACTGTAACGAAGTGAGTTCCGTCTAGGAAACCAACATGGGTATGTCCTCAGTACCAGGAAACCAACGAAGTGAGTTCTGTATCTTATGAAGATGTGGTGAGCAGTACAGTTTACTCTCTGGATCGCCTCCCTGGTGGTGGATATGCCCTTGTCCGCACATATGACATAGGCGACTTTGCAGTATACCTGGGGGCAAACCAGGCCCTGGTCGTTCCTGCTGCAGTGTCAATGAATCAGCTTGCCAACACTATATACATAGCAGACGGCGATGGAGTAACCAGCACTGCGAGGATCTGGTCAGTCAATATTGCTTCAGGTGAGACGGACTCCATCCCGTTCCCACCTGGTGTGATTCCTGGTCATTACGGGCGTGCAACGTGGGCAGCTCCCCCACCTCTCAACATGCCGTTCTGGCACTGTGACACTACGATGGGACGCTGAAACAGCTTGTCTGAATCTCTGGTAAGAAAACTCGGTGCCTATCAGTAAAACTTTCTTCTGATTCTCGACATGTCTGATAGCCTAACCTGTTTTGTATATACACCAATACATCATTGATCCAAAGTCCACACTATTATTATCTATTTAAAACAAGGAGAAGCATAAACAGTTAAAATGAGAGAAAATAAAGTCATATGATTTATTCACGAGGTAAATTTCACTGTAACAGGCATAACGAACAGAAGACTTGTACTCCTGTTAATAAGATTAGAAGATGTAGTGTCTATCTTTTTTTACTCCCATTTGATTATAGTTGATACATAGTTCAGTTCTAAAATAACAGTAGCATCCATTAAACTAACTACTGAGGTGACTAATAAGTAGTAGCAATTTAATCAATGCCCCCAAAAGTCAATGGCAAGTTTATCATTTGCTGCTAAAAGGGTAGTGCTCTGAAGACAAAAGGTGACAAACTATTCCGCTTTTCAGATGGTAGGATAGGAATCTGAAATAATAAAAAACAACGATCTTAGTGAAACAATGGAGCATTGCCTTTCCTGACCCATCATTTCAGGTTTCAGCAAATCATATCCCTATGTAGACAAGCACATATATTTATCCTAGTTCTGTAATGATTCATAAATTGAGACGGGTACAAACCATACCATTCTAGTTTATTTTATTGCCAACTTTATATTAGGAATTATAATCTTCTCTCCACCAAGCAAGCAATTCCCAATGGCTAGCTTATTTCTTTTCTTCCTCCAAATGGGCAAGCAGCAGGTCAAATTGCGAACACACCTCCTCCTCTCTGTTGTTCTCTCCACCAAGACCTTAGCAGCAACTGATAGCACTTCCTTTTTTTAGGAATATAGCTCTTCCTTTTTCCTTCCTGCAACCGATAGCCATTTGATCTGAAACTACAACATAACCATAGGCAACTTAGCCTGATGCAGAAGAAGGCAAACCAAAAAATCTGGCAAAAGTATGGCCCAAATCTGTAGCGTGATGATGACCTCCTACAAAAATCAAATGAATTAATCAATTCCTTGCAAGATTCACCTACCCTCAGACAATGGTCAATCAACCAAAAGACAATAGGAGTAGAAATCAACTAACTAATTACTTGGAAGATTAGAAAATGGAAGTTAGGATAGGAACAATTAAATTCAGAAATCAATTAATCACCATGGTTAAGGGGTTGCAACATTTTTCATAATCTAAATTTCACCAAATTTTTTCTTTGTTAGTATTGAGTTATCCTGTATGAATGAAAGCCAATATAATTATTGCTCAAGAAGAATGATAGTGAACCAGATTTTTTGTTTGTTAGTATTGAGAAACTGAGGAAACTTTTCAGTTAGTCAACCAGATTTTCATTTGCACAAGTCCAATATTTTTTCTGTGAGTACTGTATGATTGCGTGAAACTCTAGCATTTCAAAGGGGCCTAAGTATGCAACCTGAATCCGTTTTTGGTGATACAATATGTTTTGAGTGCAATTACTAATTTCACAAATGATATTTGACTAGAAGTCGTTACCAATTTGATAGCAAGCTTGATAGATACTAGTAACCATAATAATTACAGGTATTGACGTCAATTTAATCTGATAGTCTGTTGCTAGCTATGATCTCGTGTGCAGTTAACATTAGTATTTGCAGTTCCTATATTTACATCTATGATAATGACAATGTTCGTTGATGCAGGTTTGAGTGTCCAGGACATTTGAAGAGGCATGTTATGCGGGGGAGGCTGGAGGCCGGCTGGGGGTCTTGCCCACAGCCGAGCAAGAGGGAAGGGATTTCCTTCTTAATTCTTGCTTGATTAGATCGATACATCTCCTCTCCTTATATAGAGAGGTTTACTTGACTTCCAAGTAAGGCTTACTTGACCCTTAAGTAAGCGACTTTTATCTCTAATTAATCCTAACACTAATGGGCTATACAGCCAACCCAGGCCCAATAGGCCCCTGACGTATTCTAACAAGGCATCTCATGATCACCACTGTAAGATCAGCAGAAACTACAACGAAGTAAGTTCCGTCTAGGAAAACAATAAAGCTCATGGGTATGTCCTCAGTACCAGGATAAAAATCCCAGTAGCGGCGCCCATAATCATCAATATGTCAGTAAACGTAGTTGGGTGGCCCGAGAACAGGATGGCCAACGGCGTGGTTGGAAGCTCATGGAAGAAAATACCGCCATTTGTGATGCCATCCACTTTCGATGCCATCCCCCATCGACAACCGGTAGTGCATCCAAACGGCAGACATGGGAGACGCACATTGTTCTGGCCACAGTTAACCCCGTCTATGTTGTCTCAACATAGTAGGTCCTAAGCCCTGATAAAGGAGGAGGGTTGTGATAGGCGTGGCGAGCCAACGTTAAATCTAACCATTCTAATGGAGATGAAACCCGAAAGAAAACAGCTATTCACGTGTCTGAATCTTTGTTTCTGTTAGGTTTTAACTCTAGCCTACCCTAACTTATTTGGAACTTAAAGGCTTTGTTGTTGTTGTTGCATCTCATGAAGTGTCAAAGCTACTGAACGTGAACGTATCAGTCACTAGGAAATTTCCAATTTGTCGCATTCCACGATGCCGCTTTTATGTTTATTCCTTGCTTGAACTGGACATGTCTGTCCTTACTTTCATAATCTTGAAAGTCTATGCAAATGAACTACATATCAGTACTAAATTTATCTGTGGTGTTAAGTTTCAGCTTGAGAAAACACCATTTTTTGAATTCTGTGTGTTTTTCTGATTACAATAACAACAAAGTCTTTAAGTCACAAACAAGTTGGGGTAGTCTAGAGTTGAAATTCAGCAGAAGCCACCAAACAAGTTGTGTTTTTCTGATTATTCTGAATATTTTTTGTCGTTCGGGATTTGTATCCCCATGTTTCTTAAACGGTAGTTGGTAATTTTTCCCACGAGGGGATTCTGTATCCTGGGGGACTGGGGTGGCAAGTGCAGTGGAGAAAACCTCGGGGCGCTTAAACACACGTGGTTTTTGGCACCCTTCATCCAAAGGAGCCCTTAATAAGGGGTAATTTCCTTCCATTTCTTTCTTCACCTGCAGGTAGTCTGCTAGCTGCAACCGCCGGCCTCCCTCCCTCCCTTTGATCCTAAACCTTAGCCCTGAGGAAGAAGATGGCCAGCAGGCAGCAGGGTGAGCAGGCACCGTAGCTCATCGAGATGCCGCCGATCCTCGGCTCGCCCTCGCTGCGCGCGATCTGCCTCCGTCACCTGTTGGCGCGGTCGTCGCCCAGCAGCAGCAGCATTGTTCCCAACGCCGCGACGCTGGCCACGGCTACGAGGCCGGTGAGTGTATACACTCCTCCGATCCGCCTGCAGGCCTCTTATTTACTGATTCAATTCGTTCTTATATTAATCTCCTCGGTATATATGATGATGGGTCCTCCTCTCGTGGTCGTGGATGATGAATCGCTGCAGTGCGCTAGCTAATACATACTCTGCATCGATCGCACGCCATGGGACTTGCAACTTATCTCTCGATCCAAATCTTAGCAGAAGGTGCAAAAAAAACTGTCTCTACAACACACCTTCATTCCGTCCCTGCACATATATACTACATCTCCCAAGAGTTTGTACTCCTGTTGGTTAGTATACTCCTGTTGGAAGGAGTTCTTTTTTAATACCAAAAGTCGTTTTTTTAGGAAATATCTTAAGGTCAACTTTGAAAGAACAGATGATCGACCAATGCCTAGCTACTGAATGTCTTGTTTTACTAGCAATCATTCTCCCTGTTTACTTAAGCTATAACTGAAAGTACTGTTGGCTGATTTGTTGTGAGAGAAAAATACTGTTTGTTTGCTGAAAAAGTACGGTTGTCTGTTGCTCACTGTTTGACCCTACTTAATTATATATCGTCGCCTCGCCTTCATGAAAATCTTGTCCGATCGACCATTATATTATCGAGTATCAATCAACGATATACGTGTATATATCTCAATAATAACTGTACCGGTCTATATACCGTCATTCTACAGGGTTTTCCTCTGTCGATTCAGGAACTTATATCCCAATGGGTGCCAGGGAGGCCTGGGATCCCTAAGAGGATAGTCTTTACTTTATTTGCAGGTCTTTCATGGGCTATCTGGAAGAACCGTAATAAAATGGCCATTGAAAAATGCTTCCCACTAAATCCTGATCCTGTGATTCATATGGCTATCAATCATCTGCAGATGTGGGCAGATTTGTCCAAGGAGGCCGACAAGCAGGTCAAGCTGGAGGGGGCAATACAGCGTTTGGCGGGATGGATGAACCAGAAGAAAAGTTTTCAAGGATCCTATTCAGATATTATGGTCATATAGGGCGTAGTTGCTGTTACTAAGGATGAAAACGGTATGAAAATATCCCGTACCGAACCGCATCGTTTTCTACATTTAATCCGATCGAATTCATATTTTCGGACAAATTCGAATTCGGTTCGAAATTCGGAACGGTAAATTCGAAATCGGAATGAAAACGGTTTAGACATTTTTCCGACCGTTTTCTATCTTTCTACTTTTAATTCGGAATATCCTGAATTCGAAATTCGGTTTAAACCTAATTTGGCCTACTAGAAGTCCAACTTTAAAAAAATTGTATCTTTTCCATACGATCCCGGATGAAGATGATTTTTATATGAAAATTGTAGCTCTCGATGAGATCTACAACTTTTTAGTTTTTTCATTTAAGGTCTTTAAGATGTTTTAAAAAATTAAACAAAGTTTCAGCGGTATATTAAATCGCGTACTTGCCTTAGAAAAATCATGTCTTCCTTACGTGTTGTCGAATGGAGATACATTTTAAGAAAGTTGTATGAGTCGTTAATTATTATTCACTTGTTAATTGTTATGCACTTCGTCCTCTGTATTGATTTTTCGTATACCGACCGTGTTCGACATAATTCCGCTCGAATTAATTCGTTTTCGAAATTCTCGATATTCCGTAAGTTCGTGTTTGTTTTCGTGTCCGGTTTTATCCCTTTCGCTTTCGTTTTTGTATTCAAATGTAAAAGTAGAAAACGGTTGAGAGGTTTTCCTACCGTGTTTTCTATCATAACATATGTCTTCGTTTTGTTTCTGTAAGCTAGCGCTGAGGTGTGGAGTTTGCTCTTTCCTTTTTAAACTGGAGACCCCAGTGTGTAAAACCTTGTTATTGGCTTTTTCAAAAGCCGAGTTAATCACCGTCATTCTATGTTTTTGCAACCTACCATTATTCTATATATGTTTTTTTTCCCTGCAGAGTAGACGCAACTTGCGCAACTACAGACAGTGCACGGAGCGCTACGACTGGTTAACCTGGAGAGTGCTACCAGTCCTGGGCCTACTCTTCTTCTGGACAGAACAAGCGAATCAAAAAGCTGAAGGAGAGTCTGGCCGAGCTTAGCAACAAGGACAAGAAGGAGAAGGAGGGTTGTAGTTGTTCTGCTCCTCCTGCAAGGGGCACGACAGCCTCTAGTACTACTGCTACTGATAAACCATGACTGAAAGTATCGTTGGTTAATTTGTTGTGAGACGAAAATACTGTTCATTTTCTGAAAAAGTACGGATTATAAGTGAAGCGAACAGGCGCATAAATTTTGTGGTTTCAGCATAGACCGCGAGATTGCCTTTTTGCCTATTCTAGTCTAGACCATAAAAATATTCCCACATTTTCTATATGTAAACTTATTGCCATCACATTACTAGTCAAGTGCAGTTTATCGTCTTTTCTTTTTCAGTTTTCAACTGAAGCAAGTACAACTTATATAGGTTGACGGAGAAATAGAGCGCACCAGAGATGAGTGGCTCGGAAGGACTTGGAATTCCAACCGGAACACATAGTCACATGCATGTCACATCCATTCTCTACAAAATGAAAATACAAATATCTTGACAATCACTAATAAGTTGACAAAACATATATCTGGTAGTGGTAGTACAGTTTCAGGGAGAGAGCTAAGCAAGCGTTGGGTGACGTACCGAAATTAAAACACAGTGGAAAATAAAAATGAACACTGGATATATATTTTCAGTCACAAAGTTCTATTGATCTCACACAAGCCATGCATGATCCCACACAAATCTGTACATATATGGACACCAGACCACTTTTTTGTTTAGATCTTATAATTTTTACCTCAACTGGAAGACCCCATTGAACTGACTTGAGGACAGGAAAAAAGGGAATAAAAAATAGAATGGAAAATAAAAAAAATAGAATGGAGATGCACCGAAGAAAAAAATAAAAAATTTAGAATGGTAATGGAAAGAGCTGCCATAGGAAAAGCCTAGATGTTCGGACGGACGGGCGTCCGGACCTGCAGTCCGCTTACCACGCCAACACGGAGCCCGTGCCACCTGGCACCGTCGAGAGCTCCCTCAAGCTGCCCTTGACCATTGCTGCAGTGCGTGGTCTGCCCGCCGCCACTCTAACCGCTGTGGAGGCGAGAAACACCGTCGAAAATCTAATCCACACCGACCAGATGGAGATCCGCTGCACTCGGCTGATCTACTTTTGAAACATTAAGATGCAACACTTGCAAAAAAAAGACAGATGAAACACTTGAAGCATGCTTAAACACTTGCAAAAACACATAAAAAGCACTTGAAAACCATTGCAAACACACGTAATATCCAAATAAAACACCTGCAACATATATGTGAAACGTATGCAACGTCCAAATAAACACACTTACAACAATACGTCCGAAAACACAGATGAAACATTGGGAACAGACCTTTGCAACATATGTATAAACCATTGCTACATCCTAATCTACTTAGCAACATCTCACTAAAACACTTGCAACATATATGTGTTTTCAGCACATCGCAATATCTCCTTGCTGCTTGGGAGAATGGAGCCTCGTCGGCGTGTAGAGTTTGCCGCAGTCAGCAGCTTGACGAGGCGGCGACTGCGCGATGCGGCAGGAAGACATCGACCGCGCACCACGCCTGGCAGAGCCGACAGCCGAGCACCGCGTGTTGAGACTAGGAGAGGGCAGCCACACGCCGCACCTGGTAGGGCTAGCAGTCGAGCGCCGCGTGCGGGAGTGATTCTTTTAGAAACGGACGAGCGAATAATGGAGAGGGTCGTTGGGCGAGCGGTGCATGCTGGAGTGAGCGGAGCAAGGCGCCCGGACGGATTGTACGTTTTAAATGTATCATTATTGATGAAAAGGGAATAAAAAGAGCTGCCATAGAAAGAAGGACATAAAAAATAGAATGGAAGATAAAAAAAATAGAATGGAGATGCACTTGAAGTAATAAAAAATAAAAAATAGAATGGTAGTGGAAATAAAAAAGTACATACAAAATAGAATGGTTAAAATTGAGAAGCGGGGTATCGATCCCCGTACCTCTCGCATGCTAAGCGAGCGATCTACCATCTGAGCTACATCCCCAAAGATGTTAGCGATCCAAATGTAATTGCTTTTGTAATGAGACACTTCAATGATTTGCCTCGTCCTCACTGCGGGTTGCCGGTAGATGGACATTCTACACTCTAGAGGCGTCGCGATGGAAGGCGGCGGCTCCGGTTGCCGGGCCGCTGCCATTGCCCCCGCGCGTATGACCACCGTCTCGCGCCACTACTTCGGCGTCAGCGCGTCCGAGCATCACCACGACCTCCGTGTCGACATCATCGAGGTACGCGCATCCGTGCCATCTCGTACCTCCCCACGCTCGCGTCGGATAGCTAACCGAGAGCCACTGCTTTGCTCATATGCTGGGGGGGCCTGGGGCCGGGTGTTTCATCCGGACAGTCGTTGCGGCGTCTTTAAACCTCGATTGCGTCGCGTCTAGGCGGCGATCCAATGCGGCGGTTGCCATGCTGGTGCATGCTGGAACGCCGAGCAAGTGCTTGATAATTTGCCGCCAAGGCGTTTGCTGCCTCGTGGTGCTACACGAAGCACACGCGCTTGGCTTCGATCCTTTATTAGTTTTATCCACGCTTCTCTTGCTGTGCTCTTGTGTCCTGACATCCTTTTGGTTGGGTTTACATACAGAACATCGAAGAGGACTACGGCATGTTTGTGTGGCCATGCAGTGTCATTCTTGCAGTGTATGTGTGGCAGCAGAGGTCACGGTTCTCTGCTTCCAGAGTTGTTGAGGTACTACCACTACTTCTCATCTTTGTGTTCGTTCAACTTCCCATCCACCGATCACCAATGTGGTCCACTTGCTACTGTGACCAATTGTAAATGTCAGTTGTCAGTTCACTGAACAATCTTGGGTCAATAGGAGTACTTGCTCCTGTGTCCCAAGGGCTTGGTATTTATTCTCCATGTCTGAGGCCGAAAAATCCTCTCTTTATGGAATCCTGCATTCCTCTATACATACATTATTGTTTGACGGAACAATATTACAGTTACGCTCTTGTCTAATTTGCACATATCATCTGCAGCTTGGTGCTGGGACCTCACTGCCGGGATTAGTAGCTGCAAAGGTTGGAGCAGATGTAACACTAACAGACATTGCACAGAATTCAGAAGTGAGCTCCAATCCATCTTAGGAATCCTTATCATTTGATCCTTGTCAGAGCTTCAGTATGGTTGATTTCCTCCTTGTTTTTACTGACTATTATAGGTACTAAACAACATCAGAAGCATATGTGCTCTCAATAACGCCAGCTGTACTGTATGGTTTCATTTCACCTACAGAGCTTTACATGTTGCATCCTATCGAATTCAGAGAACTTAGGATTAGTCCATACCATGCAGGTTTCAGGACTTACGTGGGGAGAATGGGATGAACCACTATTTGATTTACATCCTGACATTATTCTTGGAGCTGATGTACTTTACGACTCAGCAAGTGAGCTACCATTCTACTCTACCGTGTTCAGTCTATCTATTACTGTATTACTATTATTTCTCAAATGTGAATGATCATTTTGTGTCCCATCCATTCACTGACTACCTACCCATTTCCATTTGTATTGTCATTGTTTTGGCTGACTGACATACCACTGCGTCCATTTGGCAAGATTTTGATGATCTGTTCGCGACGGTGACCTTTCTTCTCGAAAATTCTTCTGGGGCGGTTTTCATAACTACATACCACAACCGCAGGTACCAACGAATCATTTCACACCCCTGTTGCACTTGGAAGAAGTGTGGCAAGCACCGTTTCTGATAAATTACCTCACCTGTTGGATTTGTCTACGCAGTGGTCATCATCTGATTGAGTTTTTGATGGTCAAGTGGGGTTTGAAGTGTTTGAAACTGCTGGATGGTTTCTCCTTCCTGCCACCATGCAAGGCTGCTTCACTTCAGGGGAACATTCAGCTTGTTGAAATTGTGCTTGACAAGGAAAAACATAAATGACTTGAGGTGAGGTAACTTTTTTCCTGGATCAGAAAAAACTACAAGCGTGTCACGAACAATAGCTCATGTTTCGTGGGGTTACAGTTTTACAGGAGTTGACAAAAGGCGCAGAGAAATGGAATGGCATATTTGGTCCTCTGCATGACTGCATACATGCAGGAGAGACTCCATGTGAATTCATCCATTTGGACTGTCATCACAACGATGTTCTTTTAATTAGAAAAAACTCATGGGGAGCATTGTACTATGAATAGCCTATCCATACAAGAAAAAACAGGAAAATGTTAGCAGATATGTACTCTTTTGTTCCAACTGTAAAGAATATGTTGGTTGCCTTAAAAAAGGTGCACACATGTCCTTTTTTATTATTCATATATTCGAAACAACGAGCTAAATGCATATCTTTCCACAACAAGCTTTTCTCATTTTTTTGTTGAAATCCTCTTTTGTCCTTTTTTTTTGCAAGAATTCCTTTTTATTTTGATGCTGAAACCTTACAAGTTAAGAAATGATCCAGGTTTTTGAAATATTTGTCATTTTCCTACTGTTAATGCACATCTTCTCTGGCATTTCCTCAAACTTTACAAGTTAACGATCTAGGTTTTAGAAGTTTTTGCCATTTTGCTGTCGTTAGTGCACATCATTTATTTCCTGCTCAGCAATGAAAGTGGTATGGTAACTTTTATTTTCTATAGTGTTGAGAAATAGACAGAGAGTGATCACTTGTCAGTACAAACACTATCAAACACAGCCACACAGGCGCCTGTAGCTCAGTGGATAGAGCGTCTGTTTCCTAAGCAGAAGGCCGTAGCTTCGACCCCTACCTGGCGCGTTTTTTTTTTTTAATTTTGTTTTGTTTCTATTGCTTGGGTGATAGATTCTGCATAAATTTCAGCACATGTCTTTGCAATTATTTTGAATTTAAATAACTACTCTCCCAAAGAAGTGAAATTTTGTTTTGTTTCTATTGCTTGGGTGATAGATTCTGCGTAAATTTTAGCACATGTCTTTGCAATTATTTTGAATTTAAATAACTACTCTCCCAAAGAATATGATTGTCGCTTATCGAGAAGTCAAACAATCTTAATTTTAAGGCAAAATTTGCTGGCGGACATGCCAAGTGATGGCTCTTTGCTAGCGGACACCCATTTTCGAGCGCTTTGCCAGCAGACACTCTGGTTTGTTGAAATTTGGCCACTGGACGCCGCACCCCAGTTTGAACCGGTTTTGGAGAGAGAAAATTTCGTTTTGAACATCAGGTGCCCCTGAGCCACACTTGGGTCCGTCCCCAACCTGGTCTGGTTGGACCAGTTTATAACGGCCAGCCTAGACCCGACGACACTCTCCAACGGTCTCTTTCGCCTTCCTCGTCTCCACGCTAAAGGCTGCGGCGGCGGTGGCGGGCGTTCGGGTGGGCGGGCGCGGCGTAGGCGGGCGGGCGTTGTTGACAGGAGAGCGCAGGCAGAGGCCTGTAGAAGATGGCGATAGCCTCAGGCGCTTCGTCCTCAACAGGTTCGCGTGGAGCGAGAGAGAGGCAGCCGCTGTGTTCCGCTGCACGATGACGGTTGTGGAGCGCACGTCGAGAACCCAAAATAACCCAGAGAAGCAGTTCTACACTTGCAGGAATCGTGACTGGGTGAGTTTTTTTGCATTTCTTGTTGGTCCATTTTGGCATTTTGAAATCGGATCTAGGGTTCATCCCATTGTTGTGGTCTTCGGCGTGAACAGGGCAAGGGGAACTGCAGCATCTTCATGTGGAAGCCAGTGAGCGTTGGAGATGGCGTAGATGCTGCAGCTGTGATGGCCGCCTTGAAGGCTTTGGAGAATTCTCTGTTGAACCTGAAGAATGTTGTATGTGCTCAGAGGGATGCTGTGATTAGAATAGGTGGAGAGCATAGAGTTGTTAGGAGGATGATTGGGGCCAGTGTGTTTGTAGGTGTTGTTTGCTTTGTTGCCATGTGCATGGTATTGTATAACCAAGCATGAACTTTGCTTTGTGATGTTTGTCAAATGAATGAAATGCACTTATGCTTCATTGCCCAGCTTAAATTTTCAAAGACGACAAACTTGAATAAGGTCAACCTTGATTTAATACTGAGCTTTAGCATGACAAACTTGAATAAGGTCAGCATGACAAACTTGAATACAGGCAGTAACAATAATAGCCTTCAATTGACTACATTACCAAGCCTTCAAGTTCACTACATTACCAACATCTGTCAAGTTCATATCCCAGATTACAATACCATGTTTATAATACATTACAATACCAAGTGTAGGCCAAGTTCATATGCCAGATTACAAAAGCACAGGTGGCTCAAAAGCACACAGAATAACACCAAAGCACAGGTGGCTCAAAAGGACCAGTCAAAAGCTTTCTTCTGTTTGGGTGTTGCTCCTATTGCATCAGGCCCCTCCCCTCTTGCTCCTAGTGTAGGCGCTTGGACTGGATGTCAGCATTGAGGAAGCCTGACTCGTAGTCAGTGCCCTTGGGCTACCTGCCACTTGCTGTTTGGCCTGCCTCCTAGTGACCAGGGAGCTTGGAACCCTGCAAGATGAAACATGTGAACATATTTTCAACTACACGTGCCTTTAAACTAAGAAAAATGGTGGCAACAGATAGATCACGTACTGCTCAGATTGATCAGGAGGTGTAGGCTCAGCAGGAGTTGTCTTCTTCTTGTTGAGTTGTTTCCCCTTGTAGGAGGCCTTTCTCTTCTTCTTTGATGCATCATCTGTGGTTTCTATAATCTCAACCACTTTTGGCTTGTAGGTCCTTTTCTTCTTCTTTGGAGGTGCAGGTGGTGGTGCATCAGGGTTTGCAATAGTTTCATTGCAGGGTTTTTGCAGGTGACCAAATCCACCACACCTTTTACACCTTCTCTTGCCCTTGTTGGTTGACCCACCTTCTTCAACTCCAGCTATCCTTCTCTTCCTTAGCCTTCTTGTCGCTTTCTGTTGCATTTAGGAGGAAGGAGCTTGAAGCCAATGTCCACCTTTTCCCATTCTTCCTTGCTTGGCATAGGAGGCACAACACTTGCATAAGCTGCTTTGAACATTTCTACAGAGTAGTAATGGTGAACAAAGTCCTCCAAATCAACTCTTCTTGTACCAATGAAAGCTATGGCATGCACACAAGGCAGATCAGTTAACTGCCATTCTCTACAGGTGCACTCTTTCTTGTCTAGATCAACAATGAACCTCCAAGGGACTAGGTCCTTATTGACTTCTCCTACTTCTCCCACCATTGGGCCACTCTTATGAATGGTGTACCTCAGATTCATGCTCTTGTTGTGCAATTCCTTCATGACATGAGGCAAAATCTTGTAGCCAGATGTTGACGGTAGTTATCATTCATCAAGAACCGTCAACTTAACTTGTAAAAATGGTCACCAAACATTAACTGACAGTTTCCACGAGTTTTGGTAAATCTATGTTTTACAGGGAGTAAACAGAAAAAGGGGGGCAAGAAACCTAATACGTCGGGCTAAAAAGCATATTCCACGCGGGAACCAACTTGAGAAGGTTCTAGAGATCATGAGAAGGCAAACCCCCAAAGGAGGGGCCCACCTGGCAGGGACCTTGGCCGACCAGCCATAGGGTTTGGCCGGTCAACTAGTGCGCCACCCCTGTCAGCTTCCGCTTCAACGTCGGTTCCTCCACCGCCTTAGGGTTTGCATCTACGCCGTTGATCAAGGTCGGTTTGATCCGAGGGCTGTGGTTCATCCCATCGGCCTATCTAAGTCAGCCCCACCCCCTCCTGAGGGAGACGCCATTAGCCAAGGATCTAGAAGATCAGAAGGTCCTCTTCTCCACCAGAGAATTAGAATAGCTACTCAAAGTTTTAGTATAGGCTAGCTAGCACGGTTTTCGTAGAGTTCGGGCTTCGGCTCAGGATTCTGGATTCATCATCATCTGGAGGCTGGTATAGCCATTGTATCCCTCTTGTTATGACTTTATTCTACTTTAATATTATGTTTCTGTTTATTATGTTCCTAGTTTGCTCTAGTAGTATATTTGATATAGTCATGATTGATAATTAGTTTATGCATAAGATCGCAAAGCGCTTAATTCAGTACTCGAGTGAGTTAAGTGGTCGACATTATGTGAGCATAGTGCTTAGATATTGTTTGCCTATGGATGCACTCTATATGTCGGGTCATGTGATAGATCACGGATGTGACATTCCCGTTGAGTTCTTTGTAGTCCACTCCCCGTATGTAGAACAAGTAGAACCTGGTTGCGAAGAAAGGCTTGCTCTGTTCTTGATTTTCCTTAGTAATGTCCTTATGCATAGATGAAGAGTCATTATGTTATACATGATTGTATATGTGCTAGGGTATACGAAAGACTTAGTAAATAAGAAATGACATAAGAATTCAATCTCTTAACTAATCTCCTGTTTAGTCTTACTATATTAATGAGTAGTCTATTTCTATCTCTAGGTGTTATCAATGCTTACACTTATCATATATTTATTATTGGCTTACCCCTTGAAAGGTCCTAATAGCTAGAGGGGGGTGAATAGCCTATTAAAAATTTCTACAACAACACTTAACAAAACGGTTAGACAATTAAGAGGCGAAGCAAGTGTTACGCTAGCCTACTAAAATTGCAAGCCACCTACTACAATTCTAGTTTATATAGTTTCTATCCACACAATAGCTATGTCACTACACTAAGTTAGTGTGCTCAAAGGCTAACTAAAGAGCCACACTAACCAAACTAGCAAGCTCTCACAACTAGCTACACTAAAGAGCTTGACAACTAGTTTGCGGTAATGTAAAGAGAGAGAGCAAGATAGTTATACCGCCGTGTCGAGGAGTGAACCAATCAATCACAAGAATCAATATCAATGAAGACCAATCACCTCGGAATCAAATGATGAACACAATAATTTTTTACCGAGGTTCACTTGCTTGCTGGCAAGCTACTCCTCGTTGTGGCGATTCACTCACTTGGAGGTTTACGCGCTAATTGGCATCACACGCCAAACCCTC